TCAAACAACGAATCCTCAGCTTCTTGCTCCCACAGTTTGATGCATGATCCAGTTCAGTCCAGTCGACCACAATCAGGAATATCATGGGTGATGGTAGACAGCCCTGTCTTACTCCTGTCTTCACTTCAAAGGCGTCACTGGGCTTTCTATTGTGAATCACTCGACATATGGCGTCTTCATATATCTGTTGAATGAGGTGGATGAAGATTTTTGACGCTAAAACCTTAATGTTGAAGCAACCGCCAAATTACTTCTCGGTCGACCGTGTCGAAGGCTTTTTCAAAATCTATGAAGTTGAGGTAAAGATCCAGTTGACTGCCATCCTATACTCTGGTCTATGATGATGCGAAGCGCTGCGTCGCAATTTGATCCACACATGATTTGTTCCTCTTGAAGCCAGCCAGCCAGCCAGCGAGCCAGCCTGTTCCGGTAGCAATTTTGGATACAGAGTATGTTTTAGTCTCTGCAGGATGGTAGGGTTTAATATTTGCTTGTTGTGGGCGGACAGGAGCATGATTCCGCGCCTGTTTTTGCAAAAAGTTAGGTCTCCGTTCTTTGGGAGTTTGAAAAGGTAGCTCTTCTTCTAGTTGGTAGGTACCTTTCCTCTATCGTCTGTGCCTCTATTTTCAGTACTTCTATATGAATTTCATCTAGTCCTGCTGCTTTTCCTGATTTTTATAACTTTATGGCGTTTAGGACTTCTCTTCTGCTTTTGTCAGAGGGTCTATATTAACTGAAAGTTCTGCAGCTGGGCTGCTGGTGATATCTCTGGACAAGTTGCAGATGGTGGTGGTGGTGGTCGATTCAAGAGTTTTTCGAAGTGGTCAGTCCACCCTTTTCTTTGTTTCCCCACTTTGGTAACTACGTTTCCTTCACTATCTTTCATTGGTTTCATCTGTGTTAATCTCTTCCGTCCCAGATAGTATCTTGATTATTTGATAGTGTTTTCAGGTCCTTGCCTCTCCTATCAGCAGCCTGTTTTGCTTCACTGCAAGTATATCTTGGAAGTATCTTTTGTCTTTCCGCACACTAGATAGATAGTGGTCTGAACCTACATCTGCTCCTCTTTGCTACCTTTGTCCAGTAGGGTGCGTCTCTACTTTCTTCACATCAAGATGAAGTCGATATGGTTTTAGTGTGTCCATCTGGTGAAATCCATGTCACTTTGTGAATATCCTTGTGTTTGTACACACTACCTCCAATCACCAAATCATTAGAGGCCCAGAAGTCTACAAATAGTTCTCCACTCTCATTCATTTCATTGAGTGCCTCTCGACCCATGATTAGTTCTCCTTCTGTATTGTCTGCTCCCAGTTTGGCATTCATGTCACCCATTAGAATGAATTTTGATATCGCCAAATGGAGTCTTGTCCCATACTAATTACAGTTGTCTGTAGAATTCCTCCTTCTTCTCATGGCCTACTTAATTATTTGTAGGTTAGCAGAGTAGCACTGTGTGATTGTAACTTTCCTTTTTCTATTTGAATCTTGCTGTCACGATCCTGCTGAAGGAGATTGGCTCACACTGCATGAGGCCTTTCGATGTTGTTGAGGATATCATGATAGCCACTCCAAAACTCAGTGTGCTCGGGGTTGTCGTCTGGGCGAGTAGATTATTGACTCTCCAGTTGGCAGTTAAGAGAGTCCAATTCCATTCCATCTGCAGATTCTTCGCATATTCCAAGCACTTCTATGCCGTATCTTTTCATCTCTTTTACAATCTGGGCTGCCTTGGTAGGTTCATACATGGTGCGAAAATTCCATGTCGGCATTCTTACTTTTGCTTTCATCGAGGGAGAGAAGACACATTGGCCAGTTGGCTTCCCGAAGGCAGGCTTTCACCAACCGGCATCATTTCGTCTCTCCGATTCCATAGAAAAACAACTTTATTTTTTATATTTCGTCTGTATTTTGAAGTTTCTTTAGCGATTGGATTAGTTTTACTGTGTTGGGTTGCTAGGCCTATATCCACCCCTCCCTCTTTTTCCTGGCCTAAGACCGACTAGTAAACTAGTGAACTAATAAACTAGGCGAGGTCGTCATTCTTATAGGACTGAAAATTTTTCGGGGATATATTTATTTATTTATTTATTTACAAAGCATATTCACACGAAATATTCAAGTGAGTTAGCCAATGGATATTATTATCGTGATGACTGTGAATAGTTTGACTTAAACACTAAAATGGATGATCGTTAACTAAATATTTCTTTGAACTCACAGACGATAACCTCTAGACTTAGTCCAATTGAGAAACAGTTAGTAGGACCTCCGTTTTGCAAAATAAAATGATATAGTACTAAGGATATCAATAGTAAAATAAATCATGAACAAATTGAGTAGATACAAACCACCCACATCGATCTGCAGATTTTACCAGTGAGATCAAAGTGATACAACAGAAACCCTTTTAATACCACTGTTGATAGGTTGGAAAACTACTCAGCTTTGAGAAATTTCAATGTGAACCGAACAATTTATAACTCATTTACTAATCGATCATCCTACTTAAGACGTACGGGTCCATGCAGGTCAGATGCCCAGATTCAGGCGATTTGAACAATCCGACTGTGTGAACCAAGTTCGTCTAGGCACACTACTGATGAGCTTGTCTGCAAATGCCTGGAATGGCCGTCCGTTGATAACTCTATTGTGGAAAGCGAAATCTATAGATCAGTCTAAATGGCTTCTTACTATTCAATAGTTTATTTCGTCAGCTCACGACATTTTCTGTCAGAGACCATTTCTCGTAATCTCCGCTGGGTGGTTTACGACAGAAATCAAGAGCTCGGCAGTTGAAAAATAAGTAGTGACAAAGTAGACCGTGAAATTTTTGAATGATTTGCAGTTTTCATTGGTCTTTCGAATTCGTCTCCTTGACTCTGCAAAGATGTGAACCAATTTAGGAATTCACAGTTGTCTCAATTTTAGCCCGATTTCAGATCACATTATGTCTCCTTAAGATATTTTCCAAGTAAAGGACATTAATAGTATAATAGTTTTTATATCATACCGTCGTTGATTAAACCTAATTAATCGGTATTTATTGGCGTTTGGGCTCCTATGCGGATGCTTTGATATTGCCTGCGTTCTAATTATGTTAATGGTGGGCCGTGGCTAGCAGTGGAATCCAGGATGCGCATTTAGTCCTACTTGAGACTCGTCAGCTGGATGTACTCCAGATCATCCGATTTAAAGAAAACAAGAAGTCCAGCTAAGATGTCTCTTTCAATGGTTTGATTCTCCATAGCTATACAATCACAATTTATACACTTTTCTTTAACTATAATGGATAGTTACGACAGTTATTTAGTTGAGCCTAGTGACAAAGATCAAGTTGAATGATGATTAAAAATTCACAAGTGCGATGCAAGGTGAAATTAGTCACAAAAAAGCCTTCAAACCGCATAATTAACCATCGCATTCGAAGGATCTGCAGAACCGACAGCCTATAACAAGAAATCTTGACGTTTCTCAATAGCATTCAGGCTCAAAATGGATATCTAGCACGATATGTGGACAAAGAAATAAGACCCAAACCACAAAGAGAGACGCCCATTTAATTCTCGAAGAAGATATTATACATGAATCTTGACTTCACTTCTAATATCCCGCTAAGGAAAACTTTCTTCGCGTTAACGCTGAGCACCATATTCCCTAGTAGTCCAATGCTTCCTGGAAAAACGGAAGGATAGGCCTCTACACCTGACCACTTCCATGTGTAGTTATCAATTCACCTGGTCCTGTGGAGTCAAGTAGGTCGTTCAATCTGCATTCTCTTCAAATGGATATGAGAATATTACACCACCTTGCTGGGAGTGGATCCATCAAAAGTACAATAACTGAACACCATTTCAACTTTGGTCACAGCATCACAAACGATTCAGAGCTGAAAGTCGTCTACAGGGTGAAGAAAAATCCCCCCAAAATATTGAGCTTCCCCCTTCTCTGAACTGCTCTTCTCATATTTATGGAGAAACCTGGATTATGTTTGAAAAATAAATTTGTTCAACCTTTGTTGATACATTGGAATTAGCAAACTGTTGACAATACATTAACCTCTATCTCCTCTATTATTCGCAGTTTCCTAGTATTTTATAATATATTTTAATAACTCAATATAGTCTTCATTTGGCTTTCATGCTTTTTCGAGAAAATTATTTTTACATATTATACAATTCCAAATTCTGTCCGATTAATTATGCTTGTCTCTTTGTTACTAGTTTAATTAGATATTTATAACTATGCAATAAAGTCAAACAAAAAATGTACAAATTTTGATTGTGAAGCTATGGATAATGAAATCACCGATAAAGATTTCTCGACTGAAATTCTTCTTTTTCTCCAATGTCCTAATGGGTATTTCAAAAATATTAGACCTGAGACACTCACATGCCTTACAGCCAGTTTTATTCAAAAGTTGTAGTAATATAAAAACTGCTTGTGACGGTTGTTTCATCCTATCCATGACATTCACGGGTAATTTCTCTTGAAGGTTCAGGTCATAGCTCGATTTGTATCGAGCAAAGAATGTATATAGCTATTTTCAGTCATAGAGACAAGAAATGAAGTCAAAATCATTCGAAGAAACTATTAATTAATTCAATGAAACAGAAATCACAGGATTTGAATCATATACGTATAGATGAATATGCATAATCACAAAAATGACAATAAATTTCACCAATTATAGTTAAGTTGGATAATACTGCTTATTTGCGATGAACAAAATCGGCATGTAACATCTTCCATTGGGTTATTAGTTCAGTGAACAAATTTTGCACTAAATATTTGCAGTACAATAGACTTTAAAGAAAAGAAATTTAAACTTGTCTATAATCAAAACCTTAACAATAATAAAAATATTTGTGAATAAATTTATAGCTCAAAGTAATCAGATTACCAGACCATGAATAATTTAACATTGTATCTTCCAGTTAAGCATAAAAAATAACACATATCACAGAGATTAGATATTTTAAAGAATAATGCTTCACTGTTTAAACTTTGATAGTTCTGTTTCCTATCCTGGTATTAATATGTGCCAGTAGGTATATACGCTCATCATCTGAGAGAAAAGCAGCCTTAGCTGCATTACATTTCGCATCATACAAGTGACTACTTTTCAAGCCTAATTCATTTATACAATAATTAGCTTCATCTAAATCCCATCTTTCTGTCAATGTTGGATCATCTGTATTGATTGAGAAGTTGACTGCATCTTGAGTAAAACGATGTATAGGATGCTTCTTTGGATCTTTGACATCTACGGCACCAGTTACAAAACTTGATGATGGGCATAACTGATAAAACAATTAATGCAATGATTATTAGTTAAAGTTTAGTTTTCATGACTAGTTTCAAATTATTAAACTGAAGATTTCGAATACTGATTGATTACTGAGGGAAAACCGATTTTATATTTATTTATTTATTGAACAGCGCTAACTGATTTATATTGATTATTTCTCAATGTAGCTGCTAAACTAGAAGACTCACTATGATGCCACATCTTTATTGATGTTACATGATTGAAAGCAATCAGTAGAAAAAAATAAGAGTAAATGTTTTGTTTGTGGGCCCTTATCACCAAGGCTCTTCTGAAGACTTCTAACAGATATGGGTTGTTTTGCATTAAAACGTATTATAAATAGAATAACAATAGTTAAAAATGAAGCTTTTGCAGATCATTATTACTTTCTATACTAACATTCGTTAGTGATATATAATCTTGTCCTCTCTCATAACCAGAAGTCACTGACTCTGTTCACTCTTTGAACCACTAAATCTTACTCCGCTAAATCAGATTTCATATCTCGATAACCACGCCTGGTTAACTAGTTCACTAGTTACTAGCCGGTACTAAGCTCGGGTAAAGAGGGAAGGTTGGGCATACGGCTAGCAACCCTACCCCGTAAAACAAATCTAACAGCTAAAGAAACGATATATAAAATATAAAAACAAACTTATTCCTCGCTGGAATCGGAGAGGCGAAATGACGCCAGTTGGTGAAAGCCTGCCTTCCAGAAGCCAATTGGCCGATGTGTCTTCTCTCCCTCGATGACAGCAAAAGTAACGTGGGGACATGGAATGTCCGCACCAAGTGTGAACCCAGCAAGGCAGCCCAGATTGCAAAGGAGATGAGAAGGTATCACATTGAAGTGTTTGGAATTTGCGAAAGCAGATGGAATGTGAGTGGACTCTCCAAACTGTCAACTGGAGAATCAATAATCTACTCAGATATTGTCACCCAGACGACAACCACGAGCACACTGAGTTATGGAGTGGCTGTCATGATGTCCCCAACAGCATCGAAGGCTCTCATGCAGTGGGAACCAATCTCCTCCAGCATCAGGATCATGACAGCAAGATTCAACTCAAAAGGAAGGAAGGTCACAATCATACAATGCTACGCTATGCATCTAAAAATAATGCAGAGCAAGAGAAAAAGGAGGAATTCTACAGACAGCTGTAATTAGTATGGGACAAGACTCCAGTTGGCGACATCGAAATTCCAATGGGCGACATGAATGCCAAACTGAGAGCGGACAACACAGGAAGAGAACTAACCATGGGTGGAGAAGCACTCGGTGAGGTGATGAATGAGAATGGAGAATTGTTTGCAGAATTCTGTGCATTCAACGATTTGGTGATTGGAGGCAGTGTGTTCAAGCACAAAGATATCCACAAAGCGACATGGATTTCACCAGATGGACACACTGAAAATCAGATCGACTTTATCTCAATCTCAAGAAAATGGAGATGCAGTCTACTTGACACAAGGTCAAGAAGAGGGGCAGATGTAGGTTCAGACCACCTACTGTCTAGTGCAAGGAACCTACCTTCAAAATCAAGTTAAAAGCCTTCAGGGAAGCTGGTGACAGACCACAGTTCAAGTACAACACTCGGAAACTGAAGGATGAAACTACAAAGGAGATCTTCACGGCAGCCATCAAGACAAAATGGGAGATATCGAGGAACATCCCTGAAGAAACCTGTGTGGAAGAATACTGGAAGTCTTTGAAAGCTATGTGGAAAGAAACCTGCACAACAGTATTAGGAAGGAAGAAGAAAGAATACAGGACAGGGAATGGATCTCGACGGATACATGGCAGCTGATAGAGCAGGGAGAGGAGGATGGTGAAGCAGAAGATAAACCAGTGCAAGGATACTCAGCGACAAGAGGAACTGAGCACAATGTATAAAACACTACACTGGACAAAGAAGTGAAGAAGAGTGCACGGAAAGACAGAAGACACTTCTACGAAACACTGGCAAGTGAAGCAGAACAGACTGGCTGCAGGTAAGAGAGACCTGACAACATTGTATGAAATAACCAGGTTGCTGTCTGGGAGGAGATCAACGCAGAGGAAACCAGTAAAAGATGATGAAGAAAATTTAATTACGAGAGAAGAGAAGCAAAGAAAACAATGGGCCGACCACTTCAAGGAGCTCTTGACTCGACCACCACCACCTGCACTTCGTCCAGAAATACCACCTACAGCCAAGCCACTGATTCACAAGTGAACATAAATCCTCTAACGAAAATGGAAGTCCTGAACGCCATAAAGTTGCTGTAGTGCAGGAAAGCAGCAGGACCAGATGGGATCCCGTCAGAAGCACTGAGAGCAGACGCAGAGACAGCAGTGGACATACTCACACCACCATTGCAGAAGGTGTGGAAGGAAGGGAAGGTACCTGTCTATTGATTGGAAGAAGGGATACCTTGTCAAACTCCTGAAGAAGGGAGACCTCAGTGTTTGCAAGAGCTAGTGCGCAATCACTCTCCTGTCCACCAGGAGCAAGCAAAATATTAAGCCGCATCATCCTGGAGAGACTAAAGGATGCACTGTATTTAAAACTACGACCCAAACAGGCTGGCTGACTGGCTTCAGGAAGTACAAATCATGTGCCGACCGAATTGCAACGCCACTCTACACATCATCATAGAACAGAGTATAGAGTGGCAGTCAACTCTACACCTCAACTCTATCGACTTTTAGAAGGCCTTTGGCAGCGTCGACCAAGAGGTAATTCGGAAACTGCTTCAATACTAAGGAGTACCGCAAACATTTATCCGCCTCATTCAACAACTATATGAAGATGCCACATGCCAGCCAAGTAATTCACAATGGGAAGCTCAGTGATGCCACTGAAGTGAAGTGAAGACAGGAGTGAAACAAGGTTGCCTACTATCCCCCATGACATTCCTGATTGTGGTCGACTGGATCATGCAGCAAACAGTGGGGAGCTGTGAGAAGAGGGGCATACGCTGGCTGGACTGCGGAAAAGAACCTAGAAGACTTGGATTTCGCCAACGATGACTTGTGCCTGATGTCACACAAACTTGAAGATCTGCAGGCGAAAACTAACAAGTTGTTAGAAGAGGCAGCGAAGGAAGACGGGACTTCAAGTGAATATAGAGAAGACAGAGGTGATGAAGATATCCCACCAACAACTCCAACAACAACAACGACACACTCCAATCACCGTCAACAGGCGAAACTTAAATGAAGTAACCTCCTTCACCTATCTAGGAAGCACTGTTTCAACTTCAGGCAGCATAGGCACAGACGACGATGTCAAAGTCAGAATCGGAAAGACAGCAAGACAGGCGTTCATTAGCCTGAAACCAGTATGGAGATCTTCTGCACTCAGCATATGGTACAAGATCCGGATTTTCAACACCAACGTCAAGTCAGTGCTTGTGTATGGTTCAGAGACTTGGCGCGTCACGAAAGGGATTTTCAATAAACTACAGACATTCATCAACAACTGCCTACACTGGCTCGTTACTGAAGATCAGATGGATTGCCAGAAAGAATTAGCAACAAGGAGCTCTGGGAACGAACCAACCAAGAAGCTATCGCTCAACAAATATGCACTGGAAGGAAGTGTAGATGGATTGGGCATGCACTCAGAAGGCCGACTGAGGACATCACGCGTCAGGCCAGTTGCTCGAGTGGAATCCCCATTGGAAGTGACGAGTTGGGCGTCGGTGTCGAGGGTGACATGGAGGAGATTGTGCGAGGAGGAAATGAGAGCTTCTGGGCTGTCGTGGGGCCAGCGAACAGAGTTTACTGGAGACGTGCTACTGAAGCCCTATGTTCCACTAGGAACACAAGGGACTAATAATAATAATAATAATCTCGATAAACTTAGATGAAGGAAGTATTGACATATTAGTATGCAATTTGGATACAATCAGTTACAATAGTAGTCATTATTGAACATTGATTAAAAGATTTCAGGTTAGAATTCCAACCTAAAATCAATTAAATTTTTTTTAGGGAGTTGTGGAGATTCGAAAATATTTCAAGCTGTTATTCATCGTGAACTGACATCAGTTGGAGGAACAAAGGAAACCTGGGAGAACTAAACAGCTGTTTCGCCCTAGCATGGGACTTCTCAGCAGTACGCACACACGACCCGGCCAGAGAATCGAACCCGCTACTTTCAGGTTTCGTGGCCAGCGCGTTACCACTGAGCCAGTGGGTCAGAATCCAATCGTCCATATTTCCAACTTCTGTTAGCTCACGATATAGCGTAACCGCCACCCAATGTCATCGTTGAGTAACTGTCCTCACGACCATCAAGCTTTGACTCCACCGGTCACGACTTCTCACTGGAACTTCGGGAATACCTCTCGAAACTAGTCACAAATGAGCACCAGCTCAATTGAATTTTTTTGAGAGATTTGTGGAGATTTGGAATTATTTCAAGTTGTTATTCGTCGTAAACTGACATCAGTTGGAGGAACAAAGGGAACCTAGGATGAAACAGCTGTCCAGTGCTCCCAGGTTTCCGTTGTTCCTCCAACTGATGTCAGTTCACGGTAAATAACAACCTAAAATCAATTAATAAATTCCCATAGACCTCCAGATAGAACTGATTTAAAGCGAACAAAATTGAATGAAACAGAAAGCTGATATTCTTTAATCGGAAAAGCAATATTGCAGATAGTGTTATATATTGCTTACTTTTGTAAACATATCCTATCTGATTACTACTTTAACCTGACTAATGAGTAAACTCATTAACGTTTCTATGTAATATCACAAAGAAGATGCCATTGACTGAAATCATTCAGATAACTGAGGAGATAAAATAAACTGTGTCTCCAGTTTAATGAGAAGGTGAGGTTTCATAGTGCTCAATTTTTACAATTATGTGAATGAAAAGTTGTGGTCTCAAATTCTGGTAATTGTTTGAAGCCATAAGAATGACAGCGTTATCTTTGATGTTGAAACATTCTTCAGTGAAAAACCAAACTGCATAACAACGACGCTGGTATTCTGGTCCCAACAGCTGGCAAGCACTATTGCTAGTCAGAAACTTAGGAGTCTAACTGTTGACACTATCTGAATGTGTCACCAACACAGACTCCAGTGACATAATCTAACATGATATTTGTGAAAGTAGAATGGAACAATTACTTCAACTGGCGAGTATTTTGCACGCATCTGAAAATATTCAGTCTCCCAGATTTTGTTGGTACAAATCTTAAACATTGGGATGAACATGTTCACCAATTAATTCCTCGGTTGCGTTTAGTAACCATCAGTTCAGTTGATGATAACATGTCATGTGAGGATATTTGCTCCGGAGAAAGAGGAATAACTGCCAACAGTACTTCCCAGACACTGTCATTGATGATATATGATGCTAAACAATTCTCCACATCTTCAGAAACACCAAACCAATCAAAAATTTTCAAAGTGTACTAAATATGAAGGGTAGATACAGAGAGTTTGAGATAAGTTTTAGTTTCCTTTGAAGCGAAAACAAATCTATATCTAAGTGAAAAATAAAATTATTGGTCAAATACTAATACAGTATAGTCAATTAACTGACTGCAAAAATTAGCTCCTTTTAGCATTTACCATGATCTGAATCCTATCATTGAACTTGGCACACAAGACCTTTATAGTCTCCTTGAGAAGAATCTCAAATGCCTCTTTAATACCACTGATAGCCTCACCCTTTGGATTAAAAGCATTATGATGGGTACTCTTCCGAATCAGGCTTCAGAAGAGATAATCCATAGAATTTCAATTCAATGAGTTGGGATGCGAAGATTCAGGGTTGATCTTGTTGTTAAAATTCTCAGAAAATAGTATTCAGCTTTGCTTCGAAATGTGAATGAATTCTGAATTTTGCTCCTAAAAACATGGCTTTCCACAAATGACCCTCTTCAACTAAGACTTAATCAAGGTGTTTGGAATTTTCATTTAACTATCAGACTTCTCTCTGAGACTCTGCATTAGCACACAAAACGACATGACTTCATCTAAACACCTTCATATTCCAACTGGAACTGTTTGACCGTGACACAAAGGAGTTCAGAAACGAATCATACTGTCACTAATTGAACAAGATGTCTTAACTATTTCAAGTGTTTTCTTATGTTTCCCAGGTTTTCTCAAATCTTCTCTGTAAGAGGCTGATTACTGTAGAATATTTTCCAAACATTAACCACACCGAGAATTAACAGTACACATCATGTGGATTGGTTGTCAGTTGATAACTCATATTTAACCTTGAATTTCAACACCTACCAAACCTCACAATCTGAACTCCATGTTCACCTGTAGCATTTCTCATTGACTGGTTTCAACACTATACAGTAAATTATGTCAAAATATATGATGTAAGAATGACAGTTATTATTCAACCTACTTCAAAATGTACACCACTATTACGAACAGATTCGTACACTGCGTCATTGTCTAAAACGTGATATCCATGACCAATACGTTCTGCGTGTAGGGTAGTCACTGCTTCATAGACGCTTTTTGCTGAACTATTTTCACCAACATGAACCGTACGGTGAATACCAAGTTTTTTAGCTTCTTGAAATGTCTGGATAATTTCATTTGGTGTAGGTTGCTTTTCTAAAACAGAGTCATCACCTATTTTAGGGGAAAAGAGAATAAAATAATTTATTATAAGATTTATGAAAAAAGAAAATCCATGTTTCGTCTGTTGTTTGTGGTACACAAAATGGCGGACTTACGATAACGTTTGTTGCGACTCACTATTCCGCATTAGCGAAGACCTACTAAGCAGTTTACAGTAGGTTGGATAAACGTGATCGAGTATGATGGATGCAGGTCTCCTGTCTGGTGGATCTTCACGTTCATCTTCATGAGCAAACAGGTCAGACCATCCTCATAGTCGCAACCCACACTGCATTTGGGATTGTAGGTTTTACTTGTACCGTTCAGTGTCCTCTTAAACACTCTCTGAACCCAATTTTACTGACTCGTAGACTTTTGTTCGTAACTGTAAATTTATCTACAGCATTCTGCTCGTTGCATAGAACTGTTACGAGAATGAATTCATTTAGAAGAGGATATTATTCACTAAAAATTTCTTTACCCATTTTTCGCTTCTTCTTTCAGTTGAAAATGCATAAATACCAGTAAATAATTTCTCATATCAAATATTTTCACTAGTCTGAATTAACGAGTATGAGATGCATTTAAAATTTTTAACTGGGATCGCTCACAACATTTTTAGTAGCCAGTGGTTCGAAATAAAAATTCTATGAAACAAATACAACTAATCAAGCCTTTCGTTTAATTTAAATGATAAACCTAAAAACAGTTTATGAGAAATCAAAGATAGCCAAAGAAATACAAGAAGCTAAAAATTATTCGGTGTTGCTCAAAGTCTCTGCTTTTGAAGACACAATTGAGTTCAAGGCTAGATGGGATTGCGCCTGATCAAAGATAAGGCAGTGCAGTTTAAGAGGAAATAGTTGTTGAATTCTCATATACTACTAGTAACTCTTAACTGGATTTGTTTGATTTGTTTGTTCCACCACACAAGACTTGATAAATGGCTAAAACTGATTACAGATCCTTTAGTTTGAATGAGGAAAAGGATAGATTGATCATTTGGGCATAGATGAATTTAAGGCAGTATAGAAATGACGTGGCACTGAGTTTGGACTCCTAAAATATGGTTCGTAAAATTCAGCTTCATGATTTGGGAAAGCTTGTAATTGGTGATTAAATTTTGCCTACTAAGCAAACTTTACAAACATTTACTCAGGTGCCATCGTTTATCAATACACACATATGCGATGGGAAAACGTTCTGCGGCGACGACAACTCCTCGTGCACTATCATACGATTGTGTGAGTTCAAGTAAAATATAGCATATCAACTCATTGATTACTAAAATGTCGCTCACAAACAACATCTGTATCTCATGTAGCTTCATAAACTATGACCACTTTGACGCTGACGTTTCAGTCAACAATAGGACACATGGTTGTAAACTCTTCTTTTTGCTGTTAAAGTTAAAAGGATCATTGTCATGGTAACGTGTAGAGTTATGAATGTTTCCTGTTAATCCCCTACAAACTTCTTCGTTTTATGGGGTTACAGAAGGCTACTTGGATATCCTGAATACTAGGCTATTCAACATCAGCTCGCCCTATCAAAGGTATTCTCCATCTTTGAGGAGTTTTACACCTTTCTTTATAGTAATGTCGATACCATTAAGTTTCTCAGATGAAGTGCTAATATATAGCTACTCGTCCTAAAATACTGCAGTCAGTATACTTAGTATGTAACAGATACTAACCGTCACTGTGAAATTCGTTTTAAATTATTCTCAGTGATAATTGCCAACATTAACTTAAGTGTTCTGTTACTCATCGCCACATGCTGAAGTATGCCAGAACCTGTGCTAACATACTGACTGACCTATTCCGTCATTCGGTGAATTGACATCAATCATCACTGACAAGGATGATTGCTTGAAGGCAGGTGATGTTTTGTATACGTATCACTGACGGCTTCTACTACAGGCGATCATTTATAATTAATAAACGCGTCGTCAACCAGTATCTGTCCTAAAGAAATGTACAATGTATTTTCCCTCCCGATTCAGTACACTTAAATTTATATTAAGATTGTTTTACGTGACTTGGTATTATGGTAACTGTTCCCATGAACTCCATAGATATCCCACACTAAAGTACTTCAGAGTAATGAAAGCTGGTAATACGAAAACATTCCAAATGTTGACAGACGCACCAATAAATATTCAGTAACTCACTGAAGCAAATTAACAATGAGACTGTTACTTGATAATATGGAAAACGTATATCCTATAAAACAATGAGTTGAGTTACAATTATAAAAAGGTCAAAAAAACATTCAGTCTAATGAGATACTTTAAAGGAGTGAATTGTGAGTCAAAAATATTTTCGTGGATGAAGAGGATGTTTCTTGCACCAAATTACTTTATTCACTCTATAATATTTAGTACTGAATGCTTCTGAGCAAAACTGGCATCTTTCAAGCCTAGAGAATTTGTTGAAACAATAAAAGGAGAGAATCTTAGTAGATTATAAGGATAAAGTCGACATATTTAGTCACATAAGTCCAACTAGATAACGAGAAATGGAAAATAGTCTGTAGAGAAAAACATTTTTAACAGCCTTCTGAGAATAGCCATAGGTGGATACTATTTAACGATCCCAGGGAGTTACAAAAATTACCAATACCTAATGTTTCCCGATACTTGATGTACTGTTTCTACATTTATTACCAGTAAAGTAACCACTCACCTGCAATATCTATTGCAACAACTCCATGTGGTTTATACTTCTTGGCTAACTCTAGAGTTTCCCGGGCTGTTTCAGGCATATGCCTCATGATAGATAAAATAGTTCGGACCTCCAGCTTCTGTTGTCTGCCGGCAATTTGCAGCGCCTCAAGAACTGTCTTCAACACTTCTTCTGCACTAAAATCAGGACCAGTCAAATGAACGGACAGAATCTTGTCTCCACATAACATAGTCCACCGAGTTTCACACAATCTTCAACAAACTCCTTACAAATACGCGCTAAAGTAACCTGAATGTATGTGAGTAATAAGAAAGAGAAATAAGTAGTGAGTACTGTCAAAGTAGAAAAGTGATATAAATTACTAACAAAAACCGATAAAACAGCAGATGTGTCAGTGAATGATGCCACAACTTTGATTAGAATCCATACGCTTTGGAAGTAATTCATAGAATAGTGAAATAGAATCTTTGAGTTATACACGAAGCTCCCCTTGTATCACAAGAATCGAAGATACACAAATAATGTGATGTGTGTACTGTAAACAGACATTCTATACTTGCCTTAGTGCAGTGGTGGATTTCAAACTGAACTATGAGAAGATGTATGACATTGAAATATGATTGATTCATATTACTAAAACTTAACTTGTGAAAATCTTTCTCGGAGTATATTCAAGGGTAATACGGCTAAGTAAAATAGATAGATCAGGATAAAGATAGTCGAGTCAATTACACAAAACTTTCGTGGCTCTAATAACTACTGAGAATTTATTACAACTAGCTCCCAAGTTATGCAATATAACCAGCAGTTTATGATTTCACTCATAGAAGACCAGTTCCAATCTTCAATCATATATGTCACGTACAATGTTCTGACTATTTATTCTTCATGCCTATAAACGGTTTACTTCATAGCCTCCTTTCAGCTAACTTGATAGTAAACGTTTTGGTAGATACTTCGTGTCTGGTGTTGTCCAAGCATTTTCAGAAGACTCACAGACTATTACTATCTAAATACATGCTTGTTTTGCTCTCAATTCAGATGGATATGTTCTTGATGGTTGTCTACAGCATGACACCAACAAAGAAGATTCACTCTGACCCAGCAGACTTTAGATCGAATAGAATGTTTTTACGATATACTATTGGTTCCCTGCGTGTTTTATTTGTACTTCAAGAATAAGAACAAGACATGTAACAGCGGAGAAATATTTCTTCTCAGAAACTTCACTACAAAGCTGTACAGTCGTGTTTATGATCGGTAAAATGACAAATAACTGCACTAAAACGTTGCTCAGTCAACACATAAAATATACAGTTGGTGGTGGTGGTGGTGGGATTTGTTCATGTGGAAGAAATACAAACTGGATCATTGAATAAGAAATGAAATGATAATGATGGATGAGGTAAGGGACAAGTGCTGTCAAAGAAGTGTAAAATGACGATAATTCAACTGGGGCATGCAAAATTGGCCAGCGAATAAGGGACGAATTGATGTTAAATCGTAGAATATGGGTCAAATGTTGTCAATGTAGCAAAAATGGTGATAATGATGACCATAAAAGAGAAGTATAACAAAGTGAAGTGAAATGACATTGACAAAATACGCAAAATGAGTTACTAGGGTCAAGGTAGAGACCCTTGAAGTAGTCCAGGCCAAATGACCTAACTGTACCAGATGTTCGCATATGGACGAAGTTGTTTTTCTTCGCTCGCCTCTCGTAAGCCAAACCGGGTAATGCTCAGCAACTCATTTGTGGAGGGCGTGCTTACAACAGTCAGCCCCACAGGAGCATGTGAATTTGTAAATACAAATAAAACCAGACATAAAGCTTAGTCTGTCTTTCATGCACTGTCGAACCAGACGACACCTCGAGAAAACCAGTCTCAGCCTAGCAGCATAAAAAGTACTACTGATACATCTTCGGCACTTCAGCTATGGTGTCCCCTTTGAATTACAGATACATGATTTTGGTTAGGAACTACAATATGGCGAGGGGTGATTATTCATCCCACCAGTCACTTTTTAAGCTTTTTGTGTATTTTTGAATCCAGTAAATTGACTGATGTTGACTAGACAACTTCCAATGACAGCAATTGCAGGTATTTGGGACAAATTACCCTTATTCTAACAAAAAAATACATCAAAACTTGACTGCGATTGACATAACTGCCAAAGATAAGTGACTGGAGTTGCAACATCCACAAACAATAGAGCTTCGGCGAGACTCCACAGCAACATTAGAAAGTACAGAAGCTTAATCGGCCTGTAAAATCTCATAACAATCATATTAAATGTTACAAATGTAAATTCTAAGGAAGTACATGTGAAGCAGTTGTCGAAAGTTTAGACCTTTTTATCGGACACGATCACGGCAAAAATTATTTCTTTAGGAACTCATGATATATGTAGGTATAGGTTGTGACAAAATAAAACATATTTATGTGCCTCATTTTCAAAATCTTCGGTATCGAATCTTCACATTGTAAATATAAGTCAAGTCAAAACGTAGATTTTTTGAAACAAGCATGTAGAATTTAAATTAGTCTCACTGGTGATTTGATGGACTTGTGACAAAAGATGCAAAACATAACGTGAACCTGAAGGGTGGCTACGATGAACGATGGTGTAACTATAATTACCTCAATTCACCTAAGACAAAATATGCTATGTCTTAGAAACCCAACACTTGCACTAAGCGAAAGGGTCCATATATCGTGTACAAACTAGTGGTGCCAACTGGTTGTAATCATGATGGTAGACAGAGTGGGTTTAAGGTCCAATGCATCAAAAAACAAATCTTTGTGTGTGAACTAACTTTAAGTTGTATATTAGCAGATGCACATCTATCTACTATTCACATTCACATATAAGTATATAAAGTGACAATAACTAGTCCCTTTGACTTGTCAACCACCATATTTTCGAAATATCACTTATTACACGTATATATGCAGCGGACATATACGCTTACTACTTGATATACTGATTAGAATCAGAAATTTATCGAGACAACAAAATTTCAGTGATACAATTTTTATGACATCTTTTGTGCGGTCACGTCGGGATGAACTTAATCTCTCTCATCTTCTCATAGCGTTAAGGCTACGAGAAATGATTCAGAGGGTAGAAGCAACACTTTTTAAAAAACGAAAGGCTTGTAACGCATATATAAGCTAATTAACTAAATATACATCTGAACTTTTGTTATGCATGTTTACCGCAATAAAAATTTTCACGGAGAAAGGTAGTCATTTACCGAACACTGAACCAAGTAAGTGAAACATAGAGTAAACTGATAAGAAACGCTGGGCAAAAATTAAGGAAGTGTAGGGCCAAAAACTAAGTAAAACTCCGAGAAATGTTGTAAAACCACTTGCTTTTCCTTAGTTTGACCCTAAAATGCTTCAATGCAATCTTTTCCCAAAGTCTCTTGTTTAGCCCTGTGAAAAGGCTGACTGCGATAGCGTCTACCAGACGGTACCATTATAACGTCAATGACTAACCTTTTTTGTCTGTCGATAATGTTTCTTAGGATAAGTACTCCAAACTTCAAGCTTTTTGCTATATAAATTATGAAAGTAGACATGGGTTTAAGTATTACAGTCAACATTTTCGTTGGACAAATATGGCAATATTGGTATACTCATGAATGCGCTACAGAAGATGGTCGGGGCAAACAAGCCCTACATTTGGCCCCATATCAAATTAATTGCCAGGCACTGGGCTCGAATTTGCGCTATTTGTTACTACAAAAATGCTGACCAGGTGTACACATCTACTCTGAAGTCCAGAGAGGAGTTGGGCTAAAATATCATATTCTTAGAAGTATGGGATTTGAATTGTAGCTTACTTTTTTGCCAGAAATTAGCGGTACTATAATATCGAAGGCTTTCAGAAATCCCTTTAATGAATATGGAGCTTTTGGGATCAGTTTTTCTCGGAGTTCTAGCACCGATCTAGGAGCTTTTGACAGCGTTTCACTGTTTATCAGCTCATAAAGTGTTTCCGGTCTAACAGCACCATCTAAATGAACGTGCAAATCGATTCCATGTGCACACTCGCGAAGTAACATTTCACAAACTCTGTGTAACGACCAGCTGTTGGCAGGTTTTCTTCTGCCCTGTAGGTAGGCAGGTTGTTGCAGAAGGCGTGTAGAGGTGCGTGGGGTTAGTGATGACCACGAGAATCTGCAAGAGAAAATAAGATTAGAAAAATGTGAGCCGAGGACTCACCAAGTACATAAGTTGTATCTACATTAATTGATAACAGACAACTGAAAAATGAGAGGAATTGAAATTTAAGAGATGTAGCAGTCTAGAAATGAGAACTAAAATGTGAATGGGTAAGATTTCGAATGCGATACATATATGCTAACCATAAGTGTCGTCTGGATACAAGTACATGTTACTGATAATTTCAAACAAAAGAGTTTAGGAGTTGAGACATTAATGTCCATGTCTTTTGTTTCAGCGAAACCCTCCAGGGCCTTAAAGCAATGCTATAAACGTAGCTGAGAGCCTTCCATAGCAGGTAGATCAAAGACTGACAAAAATTCGCATATTGAATACGTGTTTTGCGAAAGGATATATGGGATTGAAAGTGATCGGAAAGAGACAAACTGGAAACTGTGCCTCGGTCCTCAAGGGCACTGAAGTACATGGCATCGTGAGGATATTGACCCCTGGCGGATAAAATAAGTCCTTACGCTGTCAAAAAGGCATTGAATGTTTTTAAACGGCCGACAGCAATTTACATTGAAATAAGCAGTCAACCTAGTTTTTTAGAGGATATCTGCATAGGTTTGGAGGTTGGTGTGCACCAAGGGGCATATCCGCATAGGTCATACAGGATACATCTCTACTCTCATCAACATCTGCTCCTGAAGATTCAAGAATTCCCCAGTAAGTCGAAAAATTACTGACTAGAACATGTAGTTGCATGTGTCCTGCAAAATTATCCAGGATGGATATATAGTGAACGTTGCTTTTCGAGATGTGATGAGGAGGCCGTATTCACTTAAACTGATGCATGATACTATCCGTTTGAAAAATGCCAAGAAAATGGAATATTAATAGTGAATATGGCTGTAACCGAGCTGCTGACCAACTCCAGCTGCTGCTGTACACAGCTGAAGGAGGCCTCTGCTGTGTTACCGCATGAAAGCCGGAGGATATTAAACCACAGCTCACTGAACGGTCATTATTTTATTGGAAGTTATCATCAGGTGCTAACCACTGAATGTGTGAATTATCAAGGAAGCTGGCTTCATACGGGTGACTGCTGGGGGGTATTGACTAAATCAAAGCTTTTCAAGACGCAGTCTGACGCGCTTACGATAGATCCCATGACATTATCATTGTAGGCGCTTTCAGGTTGTCGGAACTGGACTACTGAGTCAACAGCAAAGATGACGCTGTTTGTGTACCTACGAAAAATAAAAGTAGTGGTAATATGAGGGAGAATGCTGTAGTGAAAGTTTCATGAAAATGTAAAGGAGTGTTTTTTTCGAGGACATGGTGAACAACCTTACCCATTAGGTCTTTGAAATGTCCCTCTTCTTATAACTTTATTTGTGTCAGCCTTTTCACAGCCGTTTTGTTCATATTTTACGTTTGCTTATCCACTGCCTTCGTCTGTCATTACGCAAACATATTGTCCGGTTTCGAGCTCTGACCTACTTTGTATGTGTATTTGGTGTGCAGTGGAAGTACCAATTGAAGTAGTAGTTGCAGGAAGTGGCAGTGCACATAATACCGTATTGTGATAACTTCCTGGAAACTTGGGGCCTACATTTGTCAAAATAGGACTTATGTTATGGCAAAATATTGAGCCCAATACATTGTCATTTCTTGTGGGAATGGTAACGATTTGCTTCCATTCAAAAACAGACGGTGTATGGAAAAATTCGTCGTACCTAGCCGGACCAGTAAGTGAATCCCACCTAATTTCAGGTAGGTCAAAGTCACTGCTTATGATCATACGGGAGAGTGGATGCATGTTCCAGAGCCGTAATCAGTGGAATTTCATGATTGTTAAAGGTACCAGATGCTCCGTAAACACATTTCACCAGTGCTGTAGCATTCCTGTAGCGTGCTATGACCCATAGAGAGTCACTTACTTTACCAAGAACCATATTTTCCAACCTGAATACTGTGTGTTTAGGAAGTACATCAGGCAACCTCCTCCCTTCTTGTTACTCGGTCACATTGGAATTGTGTGTACATGTCAATACTTATCTCTTCATCCGGTATATTTGCGTGACGCCAAGACTCTGTGATAATAATTACCGGCGGCTTATATATGAGCGCGATTCCTCTTAGTACCGATGGTTTGCTTAGGATAGCTCGCTAATGGAACCTGTCTGTCTGATGGGAGGTGAAAGTCCATGTCCACCTCTTGAATTTCAGCCACTTTCAATAAGATTATGTACACCAAAGACTTGGTGCGTGAACTGTTTAATACTAAATACCATTTTGTAAACTTTTAAGAATCATCAGTTTGACGCTGCTTGTAAACTGGTATTCTTCATGTTAGGCCCATTGTATGAGGATAATATTCATTATTGTCTAAACTCTATATACGCCGAAAAATGATATTTTCTTGTTCGCTTCTTAACTAGCAGGATCTCTTAACGCTTTAATAGAGTATAATGACATTCCGTCTGTACCATTCAGCACTGGCAAAATCTTGTAGATTTTTTGACCTATATCAATGTGATGGTGCTTTTAAACTGTCTTCTCCCGTGTTAAGTTACTAATGTGAGAATAAAACACTTGATTATTTGTTTGTAAACGTGATCTGCCATACTTCTTCTAATCAAATGTGCACATCCATGCCAGTAAATTGGTATCTGACTCCTGGGTTATTTCAACCTCTGTGACTAAATCGGGAAGGTGTGCATGCCCCCTAACATTACAAAAGGCATAGTGTCAGTGGTTTACGGACAGCCACAACAACTAGTTGTTACCCTATTCAAATCATAAAATGCTACTTCGCAGGCTTTCCTAGTTTCAAATTCTTCAGGCATCATAACTTGCACGGAAACTGTGGCCAGTAAGTTGCTGAATTACAGTCGAATAAAATGTACAAATTAACGATGTCATCGCCTTTTTCGAAACGACGCCAAAGAGGAACGTCGATTCTTCGCCAATAGCTCACTAATACAGAGGCCTACAAGTGCATCAGTACCTAACCTACGCCGCGTGAACTTTAACCGGTTTCATATGTGACGCCTTTCTAATCGTAATCAACCGGGCCCGGGTTCTGATGGCTGTGACGCTGTAGCCAGCAATACCATCCTCACTTTTCGTACAAAAATCATGGTTACGCGAGGTGGAATCGACTGACGTGCATCGCATTCATGGTGTCAGCAGCGTCTAGTTGAGAGTTTGCACAAGCTTCAGCGAGCACTAGGAAGGGTAAATGGCACACCAAGCGAGGATAACATTTTGAGACATCTCAGCAGAACGGCAATAGAGGGACGGGTTTTGAAGTTGTAGTAAAATACATTAAGAGGAAATTTGGGGTCGGGAGTGATGAAGCAGACACATGAACCTCCAGTCTGTTCTACCGTAGCCTCTACAAATTAAGCGTCGTGCAGTCGAGGTATCGACCGCAGTCCTACCTGGAGGAAGCAGTAGTGAACAGAAAACCAAGTAGTGATCAACTCTTGTAAACATGTTGCCTACATCTATCAAAAGAGGAATTTGGTACCTTAAAATATTGCGCATGCTGGGTCTCTCGCAAATACAAAGCCCAGCATGGCATAAAACCCCCACTTATCCGAACATTTTTGACTTTTCACCTTCACAGTATGACTGGTAGTTTATTTTCCGTCCTCAGTGCAATGTAATTCACTGATTGGTTAATCCACATTCTTACCATGTCAGTCTCTCAATTTGCGGCCAAGGCCATATTTCATGTGTACGAACTCGCGTGTTTCTGAACTAATTAATTAGTTGGTCATACTTGTAGGAAATCAATTCGCCCTGGGTTGTAGTCAGTGACCGTTGCGTACGAAGCTAGCTGTCGTTTAGACTGGTGTGTTATATCCGTTCGGAATAACCAACAGTTGCCCCTTGCCAGGCTAGTGCAAATTTGCACCACAATATCTCATTCTGATAGCGTAAATCTATATTGCTGTGAATAGTAACACTTGAGTAGATATTCGCTTGGACTACATGATTACATGGAAGCTTACAGATTTCCCAAATCGTCAGTGTAAATTCCTTTCGTCTCCGAAGCCATAAGCATACGAATTCATGGTAAAACAGACGTTTATCTAGCATAACGCGGCATTGTGAAGACGAATCAAACATGCCGACTGCTTGCAACGAAAATTTGGGATTTTACGTGACCTTGGTGCCACCGCTGGTGAAAAAAGAACGCACAGCTGAAAACGATCCAAACTTTAACACTCTGCATTTGCCGAAAAGCGGTGTTTTCCTGTTCACTTCATAACCTGTGGAATGTCCTCTTTTTAATCGAATCTAATGGCCTCCCTTCAGTACCATTCAAGTCCTGTGAAATCTTGCACATTTTTCAACATACATCATTGTGACGATGCCTGTAAACCAGCTTCTCCCACGTTAAATTGCTAATATGAGAACAAAATATTTATTTATTTAGTTATTTTTTTACGTAACAGTTGGAGGTGGAGGCGTTAAAAATGGGTATACAGGGACTATAAAATGTGATGGAGCACCAGTTGAAGAAGATGGAACTGCTTAGTGGTCTGTGCACCACTCCGTTTACATCCACTCCGTCTTTTTTGGACGATAAAATTGGTTCCAGTATTCCGGACTTTATATGCAATCCAGATGATATCACTTCGACACACGGTTTCGATGATACGGAGACCTCTCAGAAGTGGTTCTGCAAATCAGGACGACTCACGAAAAGATAGATTACTGCTCTGAAAGCTTGGTCGAGATGAGTTGGATAACTATTGTAATCGTATCCTTCCACAGGGCCCACGCGACAGAACACTTGATGAGACAGTAGAAACATTACGGTAGCAGTTTGAAGAGCACTGATCACCCTTCAATACCTGCTGCAATGCATGAAGCTGGT